GTATTCTAGGTAGCTGTGGGAGTCAGTGGGCTTGAAATGAATATCGGTTTCTCTGCATTTGTGATTACATATATATACAAAGATATTTTTTATGACTAAAGTATTTTTTGAAATAAAAGAAATTAGCCCTTCTGGTCTGTATCAATCAAGCAGCCTGTGGCTGTTTTATATCTCAGCTCCATTTATTTGGCCTAGTCAACCATGTCTCAGTTGGTAACACTCATGCCTCCAAGTTACCAAGTTCTGTTGTCTGTCCAGCTAAACCCAGTGCGTGCCTTATTATATGGTAGGTTTGCTGCCACCATCCTCTTTAAGTGTAGGGATCTTCAGGGACTGCTTGGTCTATTGTGGTAGAGGAAAATCACTTACTGGTATAACTAGAAGAGGTTATTGTATTGAACAAAATGTACTTTATTGCATGTTAGTAATTAGTTACAAGTGACATTACTATAACAGATATTGTTATAGAGACTACGAGGAGGACCAAACGTCCATCAAGATCCTAAGCTGCTATACTCACAAATCCACAGGTCATCATCATAGTGGGCAATGCTTATGGCACTACTTAATATTGATCCTTTCAGGTCCATACAAAATAGACTCCAGATTCAAGTTCCATTTGAAGATCTGAGCACAACAATCTAGGTGGACACTTCAATACTGCATTGTGTCAATTTTGATCAGACACAAAACCAAGGCCCTACCTGGTCTCTCAGGTGGCTGCAAAGGCAATATTTCAAGCAACAGCAGGGAGTTTTTCCCCAGTATCCTGACTATGATTTATCCCTAAATCAACATCATAAAAACTGAGTATGTGGTCACTATTGCATTGCTGTTTGTGGATCTTGCTGTGCCACTTCCTAAATTATAATACTGGATTACCTATGGGAAATGCAGGATTACAGGGATAAGGTATGGGGTTGGATCCGGGAATGATGCTCTTCAGTGGGTTGGTGTGGACTTGATGGGCCAATTGGTCTGCTTCCACACTGTAGGGATTTTATGAACTAATACATTGTCACCATGATATTTTGCATTCCATGTAGAGAAGTAACTAGAACCTTGTATTTATCTCACACTTTTAACATAGTAAAATGTCCTAACCCACTTCACAAGAGGTCTATCAAACTAAACTTGACACTGAATCATTTGCAGAGATACTTTAAGACAAATAATGAAAAGCTTGGCCAAAGTTATGGAGCAATGAAAGGGACAGAAGAGAGAGGTAGAGTGGTAGAATTTCAGAACTCAGGGTGAAGGCAGCTGAATCTATGGCCACCAATAGTGAAGTGATTAAAAGCAGTGATGCTAAAGAGGACACAAGTCAGGGGAAACAGGAATCGGATGGTTGTAAAGCTAAAAAGAAAATAGCAGCAATTTTGAAAATGATATTTATCATCATGGTAGCATTTGAATGCAGTTTACATATTGCTGTCATATTTTGATTTTTAAGTGCTAGAATATGGCATTACTGTCCCCATCATATATTCATCTTCGAGTTCAAACTGAGTAATAAATATTAGAAAACTGAATCTTCATGTTCCCCTACAAAGACAATGAAGCAGGTTTTAGCCTTTGCCTGCTAGCCAGCAAACGTTGAATTAGTTGAATAAAATTCAGATGAGACCTGCAGAGGATGCATAACCTGGCTGGTCAGCTTATGGTGCAGGAGATGTGCATAGAAATTCACACCAATCTGTCCAGACAGGTAAGTCACCAGTTCTGAAGTTGGGACAGGTAGTGGCTGACCTGCAGAAACTACACTGGAGATGTAACATGCTCCTCCTAGGATGTTCACCTCGAACTAATGGCAATTATTGCGAGCTATGCCCTGTGATGACAGTGTGGATTAACGAACTATGCACTGCGTAACTCAGCATCCATTTTCAGCAAGCTACTCTCATGCTTTTAAACAACACACCAAGGGTGATTTGTAAATTTTGAGGAGAGTGGCAAGCATCAAACCATGAGAATGATCAAAGGTGATCATGCAGCTAAGGGAAAATAAACTTTTTGAGGTCACCTAAATCATTAAATTATAATCATATACCTTACCGAGTCTGGTTTACTCCATAGGTTATAGAATTGATTTTAATAAACTGGTAAAGCGTTATGCAGAATATAGCAGATAAAACTGCATTTGTAATTTTAAAAAAATCAAAAGAATCAAGTGACTTTTAAAGGAAAGTCTTTTTTTTGATTTGGATCAATGCACAGACTGTGAGTAAACATTCAGACTAAGATCGACCTTGCCAAAGCTCGTTTTAATGTGGCCCAGCTGGAAACCTGCATGCTTGAATAACAAGCTGAAGCAAAATGTATAGCGCATGAGCCACATTTATAACCAATGCTGTCAAGTACCTTGTATTGTCCTTTCAGCATCTGTTCGTCCAGTGCTGCGGTCAGCTTCCATCTCTTGGGTCACCGAATCTAACAATGGGAAAGATCAGAATACTGAGTTCACTTCTCAAATTGGGTACTTGGACAATATATGTTCTCATCATTTATTTCACGTTGACATATGGAGCCAAGCAATTATTGTCATTATTTTATTTCTTGAAATCTCAGTGAATTATACTGCTTTGTTTCTCTTGCGATCGACCTTTTAATCAGCCTGCTCTGCAATCAGAATACAGAGTGACTAGAGCTTCTGTCAAAGTTTATTGTGCATTGATAAGTGACAAGAGCCCATGTCGTTTCATGAGATTCAATCACAGGTCATTTACATGCTCTTACCATTCAGGACCCGAAGATTGTCTGCAGAGGCAGCTTGTTTTAATGCCTGCTCTGCTTGTTCTCTTCGCTTGGTTTCAAATTCAAGCGCTTCCTGCAATTTCCTCTTTGCCTTCTTTTCTTTCTTTAGCCGTTTCTGAATTATTGCTGGAAAAGAGGCACAGTGAAACACTGTTGACAAATTTTGTGTTGAAATACTGGTTGTTTACACATCACATTGCTTCTTCTGTGTGTCTGTCTGTCTCTCTCTCTCTCCCTCAGTCAGAGCAGAAAACAAATTTTTTGTCTTCTTCTCACTTACCTCTGTTTTTCTGTTCCACAGCTAACTGCTTCTCCAAGCTTTCCCTCATCTCCCGCTCCCTGAACAGCTCCATCTTCAACTCTGTTTTTTCATGTTGCACCTGCTTCTCCTGGGCTCTGGCATTATCTATGGCAACCTTCAGTAGCCCCTGTGCACACCAAACAAATCACAAAGTAACAAACACCATTAGCAACGTATTCAAAATGCCCGTGCTTAGGTTTAAAATCCTTAAATAAGGGGACGCAGCGAAGGTCTTCTTGCACTTGCAGTTTTTCCAAACAACAAGACAAACTGTTCCAGCAATTTTACTCATTTCTGATGGGCTGTTGTCAAACTGAATTAAACGCAACAACAATGGGTTTGACTTGTCTTTCAAAGACCACAAACTGTTTTGTAAAAGTATCACTCAGAGATAGTAAGAACTGCAGATGCTGGAGTCTGAGATAACACAGTGTGGAGGTGGAGGAACACAGCAGGCCATGCAGCATCAGAGGAGCAGGAAAGTTGATATTTCGGGTCGAAATTCGGGTTCTGAAGAAGGGTCCCGACCCAAAACCTCAACTTTCCTGCTCCTCTGATGCTGCCTGGCCTGCTGTGATCCTCCAGGTGCACACTGTATTACCTCCTGTAAAAGTATCACACTTTTTAATCATAATATTTGGTCCTGTTTTGAAATGTTAGACAATGGTGAACATTAGGAAGCTGTTTTACCTGTGATATAATTCATGTCTGGTAGCGTATTCACAGTAGTCCATCAGCCACCATACGCAGCAAAAATATTCAGCTTGCTATATATGAAATAAATTATCCCCATTCTCCTCTCCTTGTCTCCTCTCTATCTGTTTTGAAAATAGTAACTGATGACTGGTGCAGCTCTATGCCTTCCAGTGTCACACGTATTAACATGTCTTTTTCTGTGGGGCCAAATAATGACCATCATTGAGTTAAATGCCAAACTTCACTGACTTCATAACTGAACTCACTCCTCTCCTAATGTCTAAAAGCATGTCTTTGTTTCACAGATAATGATCAATGATAGTGGCTATATTTCTTCATTTCATTATTCAGAAGACATCAAAGCCATTGTGTTTCCTCCCAAATCCACTCCCAAAAGGGAGCAAAATAAAGTTATAGGATGTGACTTGGTGCTGTATTGTCAATGGAAACCTTCAGCCAGCCCTTTGCACACCATGCAAGTCAGAGAACAACAAAACATCATTAGCGAAATGTCTGTGTCTAGGTTTAAGATCATTATAAGGGATTTTTTTTTCCTCTTTGTCTCGTGAATCAACTCAAGTTATGCATTATATTATAAGCTATCCTGATTTGGCCCTATATGCATCAGTTGCTGCAATGTCATTGGCTGAATATCCTGGAACTTAATAGCCAACCAATTGGAGGAGACATCACAGGGCAGCAATGGTTCAAAGACAGCTACTAGGGATGTCTAAATAATGGTGGCCTTGACATCACCCCTACAATGGTGCTCAATTATTTGCATTTGATTAAGTGAGTTCTTTTGTTTATGATGCTCATTGTGTTTGATCGGTTAAGCTTGATTGTAAACTCAGTGAACAAACAATAAGACCTGGAATCTAGAGCTGTAACATGGAGTATACATTTTAAAGTACTGTTCATAAAACCTGTTACACGCATAGGAATGGCATAGATTGAGATATAACTATACAACATCCATATCTTGCACATTTTGAAAGGCTTAATTTACAGGGAGATGCTCACAAAGTTGTGTCATTGAGTGATATTTATGATTCAAAGCCTGGGAACATTACTTATACTATGTTTCCAATACACATTTGTACTTAGCTTGGTGCAAGATGACTCCAGCAAAGTACCAAACATATCTTTCAAAGACACCAGGGCCACAATATACGAAGTATTACTTTTTTGATTTATTTTAAAGTATCACATTTCAGGTTAATTATAACAACTTTTAAATATAGTGTTTCAATAAGTGTCACTCATCATTTCCAGCAGGTGGCACTTGTATCCCAGTAAATTAATCTTACATAAGACAAATAATAATACCTTTTCTCGCATGTAAGGCAACTGTGAAAATATTTTACACAAACAATGACTAGCAGAAGTGACGGCAAGGTTAAAAATTGCTGATTTCAGCAGTCATCCAATCGAGAAAACAAAATTAAATTCAAGTGAACAAAGTTTACAGTACAGGTGTTGTAAATACCAAAGTAATAATGGAGTGCAAAGAAGGTTAATAGGAGATTTAATAGAGGTATTAAAATCCTTGACAGACATTGATAGAGTAGATAAAAGAAACTATTCCCACTGGTTGGAGGGTTAGTGACCAAAGGACACAGATTTACAATAGCTGACAAAGAACAAACAGAGGAGCGAGGTGGGGAACTATATTTTAAGATGGTGAGTTCTCATCATCTGGAATACAGAGATGAAAGGGTAGTGGATTCAGATTCAGTAGTAACTTTCGATAGGAAATAGCTGTATCTATGGAAAGGAAAATAGGGAAAAAGTGGGAAGAATGACTAACAAGGTAGCTCTAGGATCCAACATAGGTATAATGGTCAAATGGCATTCCACTAAAGGATTCTTCTAAATGGATATGGAAAATATCAATATATTAATGGATGATCTGATCATCAACTGCAGATAAACTGCTTAGCAAATGGTCTTAGTTTGGAAACAATTGCATCACACCTCTGGCAATGCTGTTTTCATTTTGCACCCAGGCCCATTTTGCATTCCAATGGGCCATGTGTGTATCATATTGGTTGCTGACATCAACTCTACTACAAGATCTGGAAAAATACAACAAGACCTGGAATGTAACTGTGGCTGTCCACTGCACTTACCTGGATGTTCGTCAGCAGAGTTTCTATGGAAGAAAGTCCATCAGGAAAGAGGAGAGGAGTTGGAAAACCTGGTGGTAGGTGCTGGCCAGCCAAGGAAAGCTTCTCAAAGCACTCCCTTGTGGTTGGAGTGGAAATCAGGACTTCATCTGTGCACAATAGAAATAGTAAACATTTGCCTACGTTGTTAATTTGCAGCCTTTTCCAAAGCATGGTCTTTGTTTTTGACAGATCTGTTTTGTTGACCATTGTGTGGAAGATATTGACACTGTGTTTAGCTTCATGCCAATGAATGGGGTTTGAGCAAATTAAAATCCTGCTTTAACGCTGAATATGCAAAGAAATTGATGTTGATGTCTTTGGAATAATGGTCAGCTGTGGAGTGAAAATAGAAAATTCTTCATGTTCAATCTCATTCACCTGCCACTCAAGTTCTATTGACTAGTTATTTTTGATAAAAATCAGAAGAAAAACAAATACTGTCTTCATATATTACATGTGCTGCAATAATCTGGAATAAACTTGATTGACAATACTGTAGAATTAAGGCCATTTAAATTTTGGGGCCCATTCCTAGTTCTAGCTCCAGTTCAAAAGTCAAAATGCACATGCACAAACTTTATTTGCATGAAAGTGGATTCCTAAGCCTGAAATTATTGCTGTTAATGTTACTGTATGAAACTGAGCAATATCGGTTAAAGCAATTTTCAGCTTTCAAAGGGGTAGCTACTGCCCTAAAATCTAATATTCACTAATTAAACATAACAAAACCAGTAGAAACTAAATAGCTAAATGGCACCCCTCTGAGATTAAAGAATTTTACATCAATCAATATGAAAGCAATATGAGACAACTAATATCGGACTGCCAATACTAGGATGCAAGAATCAAATCAAATGACTTTTACTTGCAGGAAAATTCCAAAACCTTTTAGTTAAAGGACACTCTTAAGAGGTGAGTGGAGAGATTGGTTTGATAGCTCAACTGATAAAAGTGTGCGCAAGATAGAGGTCAATTAGTTAATGTCAGTCAAACTGTCATTAAAACATCATTGGATTTGTACTACCTGTTTTTGGCTAAAGCTTCACATCCAATGGGAACACTACACTTAATTTGACAGTAAAATGAACAAAATCTTGTCCTATTTAAAAAACCAAAGTTTTCAACATGTTGAAATTGTGACATGTTTTAACCCAACATTGCAAGAATAATTGTTGATTGTTAACTGCCCTCTGAAATGATGTAGCTATCATTCAGTTGAACCAAGCCAAGACAGGAACCAAAACATCATATGTGTACCTACACTATGTGGACTGCAATGGTTCAAGAAGACAGTTTATCAACATCTTCTCAAGGATTATTCAGAATGGACAATAAATGCTGGCCCTGCCAGAAATGCTCACATCTGAAGAAAGAATTAATAAAGTGCAGATGATCAAAAGGAAGATAAAAGTAGATGGTTTGGACTCAGCAAATGTAACTTTTGCCCTGGATTTCTATATTTTATATATGTGTGCTGTGTTTGGCCCAAAGTTCAAACTGAGATCATTGCAATTCTTCCAAATAACATTTTTTTCCTCAATACTATGATTTCTGTGAAGAACGTGTAACAAAACAAATGGAGCACCTGAACTACAAATATTCTCATGATAAAGCAAATTGCACTCACTTCAGAAAGGATTATGTTATTCTCCCTCCCAGCTTCTGAAGAGGTGTACCCCAAAATGTCCATGGACTAGTGATTTCAAAGCTAAAGTCAGGACCACACACACCAGGAACAAGCACTGCTGCCCTCTGCAAATGTTACTGTAGGGAAATCAAGATTCTAGCCCTGGCCATATCGCACACAACCTTTATGACTCAGAGATAGCTTTACACCGACTGGGTCACTCCAATAAGCTTTGTGTAAGGTCAAGGAATGATGTACGTGTCCTGGCTCAAACTTCAACCATACTCCTAGACCGTGTATTACCCCTGTCAATGTTACTATTCCTAACATAACTGCGTCAGAATGACAGCAGATTGATCAAGTTCATGCATCCTTTTAAAATCTTTTCTTTACACTTTGCAAAAGCTGTGGAGTTCAGCAAACAGCAGTCATTATTGTGGAAACATCTTATCAACTCCAATGTATGCACAATTTATGGCATATGTGGTGGATCTTACTGCTGATTTCTCATTTCTTAAATATTTTAAGTTTTTGTTGTAAAAGTTAGAATTTGTTTCTTTTTAAAATTGGAAGGCAAACTATGAACTTTTCATGTTACTCCCTTCAAAAGAGACAGAAATTAACTGAGCGCACAGATGGAGGAATGAGTGCTCTATTCATCTATAATAAATGGCATAAATAAGGTATATACCAGCTCAAAGCAAAATTATACTTAGGTACAAAATTGACAATATATTATTAATAATTCTTATGTAAAATAATTAATGAAACAAGTTCTTTTGTCCATCTTTCATGCACTATTGTAAAGTGTTCTTGTATACCATATGTTAAATGCAATGCAAAAATGTCAGTACTATAAATGATTGATGTTACCCTTTAACAGACTTCAGCTCACTTTGATTATTCATCTTTTATGTGGGCGTTGCACTTTTGGAAAAGAGCGATGAAAAGCAGAGCTCACCTACTTTAATCTGAACCATCAGGCTATATTTTCTTTATTAATTTTTACTGTTTCTATTATTTATACATTTTCTGCACATTCTTTTCAGGATGCATCAGTGTGCAGATGTGTTCATTGCATCCAGCTCAAAGGCTACTCCACCCAGCCCATATGGTGAGCTCAGCTTGGTCCAAGCTTTGCCCCTCTCTCTTTCACCCACTCCATATGGTAAGCTGAGACTGGCCAGGGTCCTGCTTCTACTACCATGGCCATATGGCACGGTCAGCTCAGCAAGCACTGATTTACCTTGTATTAATATTTTATCTTTTCTACACAGTATGCCACAAGCTCTGGCACTGGAGTCCAAGTCCAAAACAGTAAGGATTTATTCTCAACTCCCTGATGCATTAGACAAAATGTGATGCTGCTTTCTGTCTGCTCAAGGTCATATACTCTTTTGTATGCTATTGACTTTTATTACACATTTCATTACAAGATCTCACAGAGTTTTAAAATAACACCTTCTGCGATAATTTGTTCTTTCTGCAATTTTAATTATTAAACTAAGTATAGAACTAAGAGAAATAGCCTGATTTCTGATATTCTATGTTGGATAGAAATAGTACATGTGTTAATTCCTGTAAAGAATTGCTCAATTTCATAAGGGAAACTAGCATTCTAAACCAGTTTAGGTTTCAATAAATATATTCTAGTCAATACATGCATGATGTTTACATTTCTTCAGTGCTGAATCAGATTAGGAGATATACGTAACTTCATACAAAAGATTGTTTTTAGCTTTAAAGTAATTTAACCTCCACACAACGGTTTGAATTATCATTGAATTAGAACAAGCAAAATTCAGCACAATAAATGTTGAATGCCAGGGAAAGAATGTCTGTTAATTTCCTTTTTAAGCAACATGTTAAAATAAAACTTCCATTGCAGAGGTTAAGCTGTGACATAAAACGATACAAGCAACACATTTTAAATCATGAATGTGTCAAAGTAGTTCAGAATTAAAAATTAAGATTAGCACAGGCCAAAACGCAGAGGCTGAATAGCCCCACAAAAAAATCTATTCCTTTGCTAAGATTAAGTAATGACATCATATCCCATCTATCAATTTTCACAGTTGTACATCTGTCATCTGTTCCATCTGCAGTAAAACTGCTTATACACACATATACAACTGTCCACAAGGTAACAGTCTACACAAAGGCAGCAGATTCTTAAGTTACGTTCAAAAGCCTGCAACATTAGGATCCCACTTGCACTGCAAACTAAATTACATGGAAGAAAATGCTGCAGCTCTCAATCTGCAGATGCCTGCCAAACAGTGGCAACAGCTGGTGCCATGTTAATTAGTTTATACTATTTATTCCATGTATTTCTACAGCAGATTGAGTGAAAACATTGGAGATAATCCCAGCATCTGCACATAGACTGCAAGCATTTAGTTACCAGTCCTAGAATATCAGTCATTAACTAATATAAGATTTAAAAGTTGGATGTGCATCCCTTTAAGAGCTGGAAGCAAGAACGTACCATTGAATTAACTAAAACATTGTCAGTACTTCCATATTGATTTATTTCCCGAAGTATTTTTAAAAATGCAGAGCCACCATTAGTTGTAATTTGCAAAATATTTATTTTGGTTTTATATATCTTTAACATCTTTTTGATAATTCAATCATATTCAACAAGCGCAGCCTGTTGCTATGAAGTTTGGTTAGCTTCGATAAATGAAGGCTTTGCCTCTAGATTAATACGTTGCATTTCACATTGGTACTTTTTGTGGAAGTTAACTTCCTCACTTGTGTCAAAGAGTTTCAGGCCAGCAGTCTTGAGGTGCTTGCACAGTACCATTACATCTTAGTTTACGCAAGTGGCATCACATCACTGTGAAATTACTGATTAGCCTGTCAGTCTTGGGCATGTAGATAGGTACTCTATTTACCTGACAATTGTTTTAAAAAAACAGATTCACTTGTTGTACATCCATTTGTGCAGAATAATGAGGGCTTTGATTGTAATTAGTTTTCCATTCTCATTCATCTTACTACCATAGACAGTGCTGAATACTAAACAGGACTCATTTATGTGGTGAGACTTTGTGTGTTTGTTTATGTGTGTGTGCGCATGCGCGTGTGCATACAGCTTTCATAGTTAGTGAACAAGGAATTTTAGCTTACTTAAAGATCCAGTATGGAAGTTCTTCAATAGAAATCGATAAAGTGGAACATTTTTACTGCCAAAATGCATGGTGAATAATGATATCTCCTTTGAGCAGTCAGCTCCTTTCCACCTCTCGATCTTTGCACACTCTCAACAAAGGCTGAGCTATTTAAAAAGTGGACAGTTTAAAACAGACAAGCAATGGTTTACTATTTAAAAACTTGGTTAAAATGAAACTGAGCTTTCTTGAATTGACAGTTATCCCACTGTTTGCCAGTGCCAACTTCACTCTTACAATTCTAAGTTAGCGATTAATTATACAAACAGTTCAATCTTCTGGGAAAGTTAATTATTAAAGTCAA